AGGTGCTTGTGTGCTGCCCAGCCAGCTGCGAAGAATTTATTTATTTATTTCCACATTGTGATTAGGGATCTCTGCTCCGATCCATTCAGTGTGGAGAATCTGCAGATCAGTACCGGCATATCCCCACCGGCTTCCTTCTGTGGGATCACATATCACACATCAGACGGATTAGGAACTGGGCAGCTCCAGGCAGCTCCTGGTGGCCGGGGCAGACTGAAAGCCGAGTTTAAGTTTGTATTCACGTCATTCTTGGTTTTGACACATTTCACAGAGAACATGACGGTCTGAGGAAACATGGTTCTCGTGTGAGGAGCCTTAAAAGAAAGAACATTTCGCTAACAAGTTTTATGCTGATGGGTGTGTAAGGATGTCCTCTGGAGGCTGGTGTAAAGACGGATTACGCTTCCTTAACATTCTTACGGAGGGAGGGGAAGCTGACATTCTCCTTGAATAATCCTCTAGGACCAAGTTGAAGGCCAACGCTCGCCTCTCTGGGACTCACCTGCTGCTCCAGGCTGTGTGTCTCAATACATTCGCCCTTCCTCTGTTGGTGACTTTAGGGAACTCTTTCACACGATGCCACCAGCCTTCTTGATGCTGTGCAGTGTGGCGCTGTGAACAGAACATGGCGATTTCCACAGAGCGATAGTCTTCCTTCCTTCTCTCTCTTTAGAATTATCTTTATTGTTTTATGTGTACGAGTGTTTTGTCCGCATGTATATGTGTGCACGGCGTGTGTACCCGGGGCCTGAGGAAGTCAGAAGATGGCTTTAGATCATCTGGGGACTGAAGTCACAGACAGACACTGGGAACTGAACCCAGGTCCTCTGTATTAGCGACAAGTGCTGTTTAACCCCGAGCCATCTCTCCAGCCTAGTTTTCCTTCTCTCTAACTCTCCATCTTTCTTCTCTGACTTCCTAGAGTCATGAAGTTGTCAGTTAGAGGTTCTCCAGGGCTCTTATCCCCCATCAGTAGATGCTGCTGTGACTACCACGGATGAGATGGATTCATGGCCTCAGATAGGATATTTACGCATAATTTAAGACTGGAGCGCTTACAGAGGAATCTGAAACTTTGTCATGTTTGCCTGGCCCAGGATACCACATCTTTCACTGGTTTCAAAATCTTGTCTGTGTCTAAATCACACAAACGCCCCGAGGAGAGAGCTCTTTCCCTGTGTTTCTGCCCAAAGCCCTGAAATGTTCCCAGGACACGTGTTAAGTGGTTTTTGGCTCCTCTAAATTTTGAAAGGTGGCCAGAAACGTTCAGCCTCTGCTTGCAGGAAAAACTGCACAGGAAAGTTGACCTGAGACCACTGAATCACTAGTCTGGGGGCTGTCAGCCTCACGGGGGTGTGCTGAGCGCCTTTCTCCTAGTTACAGCCGCCAATCTCTGTCCCCATTAAGCTGAAAATATAGCTGGTCCCATCGCAGTGACTCAGCACCGAAGAACTCATCGATTCTGGCTTTAAAATTAACTGCCAAATGCAAAAGAGACAGCTCAGCATGGGGGGAAGGTGAGCAGCAATCACACCTTGCCACAGGGAAGGGAGAGAGAGAGAGAGAGAGAGAGAGAGAGAGAGAGAGAGAGAGAGAGAGAGAGAGAGAGAGAGAGAGAGGATTCTAAAATGGAAATTAGCTAGAAACTGGAGGTAGGAGCTGCCAATCAGAAAATGTGTCATCAAAGAAGCATTTCCGTGGGGGTTATTTGGGAAATCATTCTGATGCCAGAGGATGCAATTGTATTTAGTATTCCACTGAGTTCACCGTCCCAGCCCTCCTCGCGGCCTCCCGCAGAAGAGAAGCAGGGCGGACATACGGTGTCTGGTCGATAGTTTCTCTTCCACCCTCCTCTCCGCCTTGTCTCAGGCAACCCAGATGAAAGTGTTCATGAGTTATTTATTCCGAAATCTAAGAGCAGGGAGATGGGAGGGAGGAGTGAGCGGGGGACCCTGCCCTTCCTCCATCTTCTCTGATGTGGGTCATCCACCTAGGGGCAGGCTGCTGGACACTGTCTGCCTCAAGGGATGTGGCCTGGGAACTGGAGTGGCCAGCTTTGATGTAGACCCAAATAAATAAGAAAACCAGAAAGACTGTTGCTGCAATAGGAAGAGCTTGGATGTCTGAACATTTGCTCTTCAGTTGGAGGCACTGTTTGGGGCCAGGGTAGAATACTCAGGAGGCAGAGCCTAGCTGGAGGAAGTGAGTTGTGTTAGGGCGGGCCTGAAGATTATACCTTGGCCTCAGTCCCTGTTTCCTAACTATATAAGCAACTCAGCAGCTGCCTTGTGACCCCACCATCAGCTCTTCCCCTCCATTGTAGATGGCACCGGCTCAGACTATGAGCGAAAACAGCGCTTCTATTCTGAAGGGGCTGCTTGTCAGGTCACAGCAACAAGTTAAATAATGGACACACCCGTGCTTTCTCTTTTTCGTGTTTAATTGTTTCTTAGTATTTCTTTTTTCCGTACTTCATCCCTTTATTTTTTTAAAAAGAAAATTTTAGCTGGGTGGTAGTGGCACACGCCTTTAATCCCAGGGAGGCAGAGGCAGTCTGTGAGTTCGAGGACAGTCTGGTCTAAACGAGATAGTTCCAGAACAGCTAGGACTGTTACACAGACAATGTTACACAGAGAAAGTCTGCCTCAAAAATCCAAAGTGGGAAAAAGAAAGAAAAAAACTTTATTTCGTACCTGCACGTATGTGCATATGTGTGCCAATGCCATAGCCCAAAGCTTAGAGGACAACTTTTGGGAGCCAGTTCCCTCCTACTGTGCCTGTTCTGGGGATTGGACTTGGGTCACCAGGCTTGCCCACAAGCCCTTAACCAGTGAGCCATCTCTCCAGCACTGATTTCTCCAGCACACCCCTGACTCAGCACTTTTCCTTTCGTGGCCTGAGATGGTTCCTGGGAGCCAGTCTTCCGTTAAGACAGACAAGAACAGGGTGGGATTCCGAGTAGGGAGCTTATGTTTGGTTTTATCTCTATGGTGATGTCTCAGAAGCCAGCCTGAAATGACCAGAATAACAAGCACTTATTGTCGCACTCAAGGGATTTTAGGGCACACCGTAGGCCAGCAGATCCTGACTGGCTTGGTCTGGCAATCTGTGGCTTGGGGTGGAGGGCAGTTGGGCTCAGCTCCAGCAATGGGGTGGGCTCCCAGTGTCAGCTGTGCTGAGGTCCTGTCTGGAAGAGCGGCAAGGGTCAGGATGCAGTATGTGCAGGCCTGATCACAAGGGCTATGGTATAGACCCTCAGCTCTGTGATCCTGAGTCTTCTCATTGGTCAGAGAAACCTCAAAGTGAGGGGGTTGAATGTCCATCTGCCCTGTGGGGGCCCAGAAGGTTATAGGCAGAAGGGGGCCAGCCTACAAATGCATCACAGAATGCAAGATCAGTACCAGTGATCTGGTGGACCACAGATCCCCACACCCATGTCTTCAATCAGGAATTGATTCTACCAAATATAGTCATAAATGAGCTACGTCTGCCGTGACATCTCAGAAAGCAGCAAGCTCTCCTAGACACTCTATGGGCACCATGCCTAAGGCACCCGTCAATGAGAACCCAACAGAGATGCCAGCACCATATTGGTTTGTCAGGGCTGGTCTGTATTTGGTTGTTTCCAGCTGGTTAAGTCTCTTAAATTAAAATTTTAGGTAGATGAGCATGAGGGTCTGTTGACTGAGGTTTCTGTTCCACTCTGTCCTGCAGCCGTTCAGTCCCAAAGAAACACACAGAGGTCTACATTAATTATAAACTGGTGAACCTATTGGCTCAGGCTTCTTATTAACTAATTCTTACATCTTAAATTAGCCCATAACTCTTGTCTGTGTTAGCCATGTGGCTTGATACCTTTATCAGCAAGGCATTCTCTTCTTGCTTCCTCTGTGTCTGGGTGATGACTGCAGACTCAGACTTTCCTCTTCCCAGAATTCTCCTATTCTTGTTGCTCTTGCCTATACTTCCTGCCTGGTCGCCCCATTTATACTTCCTGCCTGGCTACTGGCCAGTCAGCATTTTATTAAAATACAAGTGACAAATCTTTACAAAGTACAAGACCATTGTCCCACAATAGTTCACAGCATACAGAGGGGAATCCCATATCAAGTGTACATGCTTGTACTACCAGCATTTGGGAGACAGAGGCACAGGACCATGAATTTGGGGGCTGCCTGGGCTACATAGTGAGTCTCTGCTTCAAAAATCCCTAAGGGTAGGGGTGTAGCTTAGGGGATCTTGCCTAGTAGTGTCTAAGGTCCTGGGTGCCACCGTTGGGTGCCTTCTCCTGGGTGCCACCTCCAGCACAAGACTTTAAGTGAGTACTTAAAAATAACTCAGAAGTTAAAATTACAGCCAGATGATATTAAAATGTAGAAAGCATATTTTATAACCGTTAGCATGGATTGCTTTACCTAACATCTTTTTTTAATCAGCATTCTCTGAAGTGCATTGCCCGTCCACTGTGACATATTAGTTTTAACTTGCACAGATGGGAGTCGAGTTTTCTGTTTGAAGACCTTTTTTATATTAAAAAAAAAAAGTCAAAGAAAAAAATTTAAGTAAATTAACACACAAAAAGCATGCATAAGGCATAAGTTTTGAGGCTGTTTTTGAATCTCCTTCCTGAACTCTAGGAAAATGTGGCGTGGAGTGAGGGTCCAGAGCCCTCTTCACAGAGTCATGGCCACTGTTTTCCTCCCAGAAGTAGTCACATGTTCCAAGCTGGTCCTTCAGTCCTTGCTTGGTTTCAGGGTGGCCATGTCAGACACATTCTCATCGCTATGACAAAACACCCAACAGGAAACAACTTAAGGAAGGAAGGGCTTGAGGATGCAGCCCGTCACTGTGGGAAGGGTATGGTGGTAGCAGTGTGAGGAGGCTGGTCCCCTTCCATCTGTAGTCAGAAAGGAGAGAGAGAGAGAGAGAGAGAGAGAGAGGAATGCTGGTGTCCATTTCATTCTGTCCAGTGTTGTTCTGAGCTGCACAGCTGGCTGGCGCTCAAGGTGAGGTTACACTCTGGTCAGTGACACAAGGTTTCTGGGACTCAGTTTCCCTGTTGGTGCTTGTGGTGGATAAGAACAGGGCCTGCCTTGGAGGAAATGAGGAGGGTTAAACGAGTGAAGACACCACGCTCACTCAGAGGGTTTCTGGACTCAAAACTACCTTCTCCTTCACATGGATCACACTTCATCTTGTTGACGTAAAGACTGCGGAACCCTCTCAACCCAGAGGCCATTCAGAGGCTGTGTGATAGTCTAGCCAGCATGGTGACCATATGTTTGTGCCTTAGCGGTCCACTTGGGAGATCTTGGGGTCTTTGTGGTGGGGGTGGGGTGGGTGGGGTCATGATACTATTAACTTATCAAAAAGCATTTCTTCTGAATAAAACATGCTAAATCCACCAGAAGGTGTTTTTAAAAGTCATTTCTAAGTCACTGGAGATTTCAAGTAAGCCCAGTGTCCCTAAGGGGGAAAACATCACTGACTGAATCTTTCGGAAAAGAGAGAAAAACCAGGGCCCCGGAATGACCCGTCACCTGCCAATACTTTGAAAGAAACCAGTGTGCAGTTTGACCTCCGGGGCAGAGGTCACATGGTTGAGGTGGGTAGAGATAGAGTGACTCACAGCCCAGACAGCCAATCCAGACCCCAGGGGACTTCCTTTTAATGGGGCCTGCTCAGATGCTGGAGGATTTGAGTGAAACCAGAGCCAGCTGGGTGGGAATGAGAGGATTACGAAGCCAAGTACAAAGCGGGAGCCATTTTCCTTTTCCTTTCACACGTGCCGTTGGATCAGAAAATTGAGAGAGGGTTAAAGATAATTAAAAAGCTCTCCCAAATGGCGCAGGGTCCCTAGGAGGCTGCAGCCCCTAATGGCTGAGAGTGAGGTACCATGGGTGGGAAGAAGAGCAGAGGGCGCGTGGTTGTCGGAGCTTGGCCCATGCGGGTTTCCTTTGCTTTCCAAATCACAAAGCAGAAGTGGCTCAGCCCAGAACTCACCTCCATCTAAACCAGCTACGTGTGCGGAGGCTGGAGGGTCCCACCACAGAAGGACGGTTCCACCATGCCCTCCCTTCCAGGATAAACTGCCAGAGATCACGAAGCGAAACAAATCCGGCATGAAAGGGAGCAAACAGAAGGACCGACCAGGGCGTACTTTGAGTTGATCACCATGGACTGGGACTTTAGGGGATGGCTTTAGATACGTCTCCCGTGAAAGGGGCGTGTGCCTTCTTTCCTTAAATCTGTGTGGCCCACGTCACCTCCAAGGCTAGGCTATCAAATGGTACGTGGAACCTGGCCAGCTGTTGCTCCTCCTTCCTCCTTGTAGACTGTGTTTTGGGAGAGTTTGGATTTGGGTTTTCTCTCGACAACAGCAGGGAGCTAGAGACCTTGGTAGATACCGTGCCCTTGGCTTCAGAGGCTGGATTAGGGACAAACATGTAAGACTCATATTTGGAACTTAGGTTTAAACTATGGGGTAGACAACAAAACAACAACAACAACAAGCTCCCAGGACTCCTGAAAATGCAAACAGGTACAAGAACAGAAGAACTGACCTGTGAGGGGGACCATTGAGGACAGAGCTGGCGGGGAGGGAGGTGGGGGGGTTGGGAGGAGGAGGGAAATGGGGAAAGTTTGCTTCCTGACTCTGGATTTGAATGCCTGAGTCCTGCTGTGCCTTACCTTTGGACTTCTTAACCACACAAGGTACCAGTTCTTCCCATCATCCTTTCTTCATAGTAATTTCTATTTTGTCTGCCAGTTGCCATCAGGACAGAGTGGTCCACACGATGGTCACTTCATTAGAGGTCTGAGATGGTCCACTGGCGCTAACTTCCTGGGGAAAGAGTCCGGCAAGAAGGTCCCCACATCTGCTCCTGTCAGAACAGAACACCGTCTCCTAACTGGGACTTGGTGGTGCTCTCACGTCTGTGGACTGTGGTCGGGATGACAGGGAGCTAGACAGTCATCTGACTTTGCAGATGTCTCTACCGATGCCCCACTGTGACTATGGAGACCCCAGAAGCTGGGCCACGCCTGGAAGTTAATAGTCTCATCCTCGTTCATCTTGCCCTAGAAGACAAAAATAAACGTTGTGCACATATGGTTATTAATGTAATATGTATATAATAAATATGCGTTTAGCTATTACTATTTGGCAAAAGACACAGATGAAAATCTTCATTGTTTGAAACTTCAACATGGATATTGTTTTGTCTAGACTCTGTGGTTTGGGGTTTTTTGAGACAAAGACTCCATCTGCAGCAGACTCTGGCATTGAACTCCCAATCCTCCTGCTTCAGGCTCTCCTGGGCTGGGATGGCAGATACATGTACACCACCATGGCCAGCTAGCCTCAGTCCTAACTAACAAACAAGGGGGTGAAAACCCCTAAGCCCTTTCTCCTTTACTATGAGATCCAAAGTGAAGTCAGTCCAGCTTTTTTTTTTTTTTGTCTTTTTGAAGGACTGGTTTTAACTCCAGGGGTCTGTCATCTAGAGTAGCTGAACAAGACGCCTCAAGGGCTCAGCGCTGCTTGAAAATGCTCCTCTAGCATCCTTTCCAGTTGGTGGGACGCAGAATCCGCAAACACACTCTCTGTGTTCCCTATTGTTTACATACTTTCGTAAAAGGGGGTGATTTCCCTTCTGCTCCACAGTTATAATGTCTCACGACTGGCTGCTAGGAACTAAAAGTATGCTTCAAGAGAAAAATCGCTCATCTCTCCTTCTCCCAATGACCTTGGAATACATAAACAACAGGCCTGTAACCAGTTTGCAAACACCTTTTCTCCTTGGAGGAAAGAACGGCCCTTGAGCGTGCATATCACAGGAAGGAGACAGGCTATACACATTACACTCCTCCTCACTGGGAAAGCCGTGGGGGCCTTGAGTGTGAGACCAGAGTGAACTCCCCCCTTTCTCAGACAGGGGGAAATGCCCTAAGATAGGGACTGAGCGACACAATGGGACCAGCAGCTTAGCACTTCTGCCATGCCTTCCCCACCGCACCCTTCCAGCCGCCGAAATAAAACCTTCTCCATCCTTAATGGCTTCTTCTCAGGTACTTTGTCATGACAATGAGAAAAATCATTGATTCAGGCAGGAGGAAGAACATGAATGAAGCAGGAGGATGTCAGGCATTTCTTGCAGGCTCAGCTGCAAGAAGCCAGGTCTCTTCACTGAGGGTGGGGGCACCCAGGAGGAGTGGGCATGGCAGAGGGAGGTGCCAAGACAGCACCAGCAGAGTCACCCTTCAGAAGGAATGGGGCGGGGCCTCGCTGACTCCCCCATCCCAGAGCCTCCTTCCTTGTGGCTATGTGTCACGAAGATGGAAGCTGCCGACTTTGCTCTTGTCTCCAGGGATGAAGGTCAGTGTCACAGCAGCGTCCACTCTGATGCCGTCGTCACGCTGAGACCCTGATATTCAATGTGAAAGCTGCACTGATGAAATTTTCATTACAGAAACATCTTCCCTTTCATGGCCTCGTTAGTCTATGGCTTTGGGGATCCACTGGCTTGGGTTTGGTTACCCTGCGAGTGAGGATGGGGCATTATTAAACATTTAGATGAGGGATGGTATGTCAGGATGTCCTCCCCCATCGTGGGCAGAGCATGAGGGGCTTTGCTAATGACTACAAGGGAGTCAGGGCTGGGAGCCAATTACATCATCCTCTGTGGTCCGAGGGAGCCTCCACCTGCCTGCAATGGAGAGGAGCTGCCTGGCTGCAGGATGCAGGAGAAGCCCAGTCCTCCACCCACCTCACATCCACCAGGTCGTCTGTGTGCTTGAGCAAGCCCCACCCACTTCTGCACCTCACAAATAGCATAAGGCAGGTTGACCAGATGGACATTTGGACACAATGACTGTGGACTGAATTGGGTTAAAGGGGGACGCTGTGTTGCAAGCTGGTTGTGTTTAACAAATGCTTTTCCAATTGTGAGAACAGAGTCTGTGTCTCACGTGTACACACCTGTCAGATTTTCTCACCTGTCCTATGGGACAGGTGGCCTCATCGTTCCCACTTTACAGACGGGGAAACTCTGGCCAAGGCTTGCTAGATAGCCTACAAAGGGCTGCCTGCTGGTTGGGAGCAATGGCAGGATTTGGATTCAGCATGTCTGATCTAGAAGGTATGCTTTAACATCTATGCGACATTTCTTAATAATTCTGCTTTCTTTTTCTTTCTCTCTCCTTTGCTTCCTCCCACTACCCCTCCCTCCCTCTATCCCACTCTTTCTTCCTCCCTCCCTCCTTCCCTCTCTCCCCTCCCCCTTTTTTTGAGACAGGTCTCTAGCATAGACTGACCTCAAACTTACTATATGACCTAATATGACCGTGAACTGATTTTCCTTTTTGGTGGAACACAGGACCTGCGTATTAGGTGAGCATTCTACCACCTGAGCTACATGCTGGCTTTCTTCTGTACTTTTCAAGTTTCATTTCAACAATAATGAGGCGTCTGAGTTTAAGACACTCTGCAAACATATAGCTTGCATGCCGAAAACCTGGAGGCTCAACAAAGATCTAGGGCAGCAGTTCTCAACCTGTGGGTCGTGACCCCTTTTGTGCGGGGGGGGGGTTACCTAAGACCATTAGAAAACACAGATATTTACATTATGATTTATAACAGTGGCTAAATTACAGTTATGAAGTAGCAATGAAAACAATTTTATGTTGGGGGATGCGATTTCCACCACAACATGGGGCACTGTATTAAAGGGTTGCAACATTAGGAAGGTTGAGAACCGTCGTACTAAGGATTGCTTCGTGTGAGGTCCCATTGTGCACTTCCAGAAGACTCTGATAATGAGAGGATTTAGTGCTTGTTAGCCAGGCATGATGGCAGCTTTTAAAAAGAGTCCCATCTCCAAGGAAGACTGACAGAATAATTATAACTACGCCGGGGTGGGGGAGAGGGGACCCCATTTGAAAGCAGTGGAGGGTGACTTAGGCTGCCAGGACTTGCTGACCGCGATCCCAGACAGCCTGAGACACTTTGAGGAAGGACACCCGTGGCTGACCTTCCTGCTCTACAAGCACACACACACACACACACACACACACACAGCTCTCCTCCAATCTCATCGGAGAGCGAATGAGAAATAAATGCTTTCATATAAGCCACAACTAGAATGTTCGTAGCCAGCAGATTTGCATGAACAAGCAGTAAATGGAGTTTTTGGCAGAAGGAAAAATGGCTGTCAATGAGATGACTCGTGACAAATGAACGGAAAGGGTGTGTGTCTGAGTATTATGTGTGTGTGTATTGGTGTGTATGTGTTCTCTGTGTGTGTGTGTTTGGTGTATACGCATTCTGTGTGTATATGTATGGTGTGTGTGTGGCATGCATGTATGGGTGTGTGCACATGTATGTGTTTGCATGTTTGGTGTATGTGCTTGTGCATATATGTGTTATGTGCATATGGGAAACTTAAACATGAATACATGAATCAGCAATCAGAATTAGCTTTGGCTATAATTCTATTACATAGAGAGTCAAATTATTTGGCACAAATAATATAATAACCAGGCTAAGTAATTTTAAGGATTTAAACAACCCTTTGATTGTGAAAGTGGGAATCATTTTTTTTCCAGATGTGTGTGTGTAGGTCAGAGATCGACATCAAGTATCTTCTCCCTTCTCCCATCTCTTTCTTCCTTATTTTTCGAGACAGTGTCTCTCGCTGAAACCGGAGCTCACCGATCGACTAGACTTCCTGGACAGAAAGGCCCTGGGTCTTCTTGCTTCCACCTTCCCAGTGGTGGGGTCATGGCATGCACCGCTCTACCTGGCTTTTCTGTGTGTGCTGGGACTCAAAGTCAGGTCCTGGTGCGCGCAGAGCAGGCACTCAACCCACTGAGCCATCTCCCCAATCCTGGGAATCGGCATCTTCAGGAAGCTCCAGACCTGCCTTTGAGAGAGCGCAAAGGGAGGGAGCCCGAAGGTGAAAGCGATACTATGGAGCCCAGAGCTCAGCACCTAGGTGGTTGATACAATGTAAGAAATTGTGACGTAAATGCCTTCCCTGAGCCACCTATGCTTTCTCCAGTCACCCTGAGAGAGGTCCTGGCTGTCCTGCCTCTTAACTCTGTAGATCTTGGCAGACAGAGCTCAGACCAGCTAGAGTCAGGGATCCATCCACACATTATGTGTTTATTTGCTTCTGCGGCTCAAGCAAAGAAAGTTCAAGACAGGGCTGAGGCAGCAGGAGAAGGAGCCAGCGCTGCCTGTGGATCTGGGGACTCAGATTGCCTAGGATACCTGGCTCCCAAATCCCTGCTTGTGCCAAGGTCAAGTCTTACTGGACACAGAAGGTATATGACTGTGTGTCCCAGGAGGCTGTGGTTTCCAAGATGGCAACAGTGGGTTGGTCCTGGCTCCAGGGTTAGGGTTAGGACTCCCTGCCCTCCGTGCTATATTCTGTCCTGCCATAGGTCCAGCAGTTTTATTCATTAACCAATAAAAGCAACAGGTATTTGCAGCGTACAGAAGGACATCCCACGTCAGCTGCACACATCACACCTGCCATCAGGAATCAGAGAGAAGCAGGCTGGCGATTGGCTCGTTTTCTCCCCCCATTCAGTCAGGGGCCCAGATCACGGGGTGGTGCCACCCACAGCTGAAGTTGATCAGCTTCCTGTCTCAGCTAATCTACTCTAGATAATCCCTCACAACCAACATTATCTGCCACCCTGTGTTTATAGCAAGGGCACAGAATGTGTGTCTGCGTCCTCTTTCTGGATGTGACATCAGAACACCGTCTTTGTCCTCTTCCTTGACCGCTGGGGAAGGCAGAACCACCCAGAGGCCAGAACTCCTACCTCTTTCTCACTCTGTGCTGTTGTCTCCTGGTCACCAGAGTTGCTGGCATCGTCCCTCTGCCCCCGTTCACCTCCGCACCTGCTCTTGGCCCCAGTCTTTCTGTCGGTGTCAGGGTGGACTTGAGTTTGGCTGTGCCTTTGTTGTATAGAGCAGTTTTCATGTTCCTGCCTGGATGCTGATTTACACGAAAGTCAGAGCATTCTCGTTATAGTTTGGTAGCTGCTGCCAAGTGCCTGTAGGAACGTCTGTACCTGTTTAGCGAGGACCCCCCGGGGAACTGTTTACTCTCAGCCTGGCTCGCTTTGCCTTGCCAATCTGATAAGCGAAACTAATAGCCGGTTTCACTTGTCTAATTAAAAACCACATTTTCATCTTTTCTTATGCTTATTGGTTGTTTGCATTTCTTATTTGTAGACTACCCATTCATCTTCCTTATCCAGCTTTCTATGGATTGATAGATGCTAAAGCGGTTTCTTTGTTAGGCTGGAACTATCCAGCCAGTCCTACCTTCTCCTCGCGGGTAGGAGTCCTTTGTCAGGCAGAAGTTAGAAGTTTTGATGTAAGAAAGAAAGCTAACCCCCAAAGAACCGGAGGGAGGCAGTGTCCCAGACTGCGGGTACTGTGGGGAGGTCTCCAGTGTCCTCTGGTCTCGACCCCAACAGCTGGCTCCATTCTTCCGCTTTCAAAAGAGAATTCAGATGGGATGCAGGAGTAGAGCGAGCTGGGAAGCAGGAACAGCGTAGAAATTTTTAAAGAGTGGCTAGGGCCAGCAGCAGTGACCCTAAACCTGTCAAGCACGGGACAGTTTCCCCTGTCCCCTCTGTCCTCTGCTTGTCCCTCCCTCAGGGTGGGCACTTCCAGGACAGGGGCATAGTTCCATGAAGTTCCGTTTAGTCCTGAATTCAGTTTGTTATAAATAAATGTATCAGGTACAAGAATATGTAGGAACCAAGTGCCCCCAGATTTGCACAGTTCACTAGGAAAGGTAACAGCGAATGCTCCCCTGGGGAGGACACAGCTGGAGTTGACCACTGCTACCTATTACTCTTTATATCCTGGTTTGTGGGTCTCTGAGCTGGCTCTGCTAGAGAGCCTGCCACCACCTCTGGTTCTTTATGTCCTGTTTTTGGGGGTTCACTGGTCAGTCTGTCCCATGCTAACCTCCTGTCTAATCGTGGGACTGAACAGGCTAGAGACAAGGCATCATGGGCAGGTGCATTTCGGGTGTTCACAAAGCCACCAGGGCACTGTCTGGGCTCTGCTCATCTTTACGAGGGTGTCACTCTGGGGTGGCAGCAAGGTTCCCAGTGACTCTATGAGGCTGCATGTAACTAACAAATCTCGTCAAAAAGTAGCGTGATCATGAAACTGTATTTTTCTCCACACAGGAGTCTGAGGACAGTTGGCTTGGAGAGTGATTTAGTAACTTAAAGGTCACACTGTGAGGAGGCTTCTTGCTTATAAAAAATGACTGCCACCTATGATCATGACAGCATCCACGGGACACAGAACACATGAGAGCATCCAGGGAACCCAGGGCACATAACAGTATCCTGAGAACACAGGGCACATGGCAGCATCCTGGGAACACAGAACACGACAGCATCCTGGGAACACAGGACACATGACAGCATCCAGGAAAGGCAACTGGCCAGACACACTTCTCATTGTCCCAGATTTCCTCACGCTTCAGCAGACGCTCTTCTGGACCTACTGACTGTAATGAGATCACTATAGTGTTTTTATAAATAAAGCTTGCCTGAAGATCCGAGGGCAAAGCAGCCACATAGGCCAGGGAGTGGTGGCACATACCTTTAATCCCAGGACTCCGGAGACAGAAGCAGAACCCTGTGAGTTCAAGGCTACCCTGGGCTTCACAAGATTGAATCTGTCTATAAGAGAAACAGAGCTCACACAAAGGTGATCCCAGTACTTGGGGTCCCATGCCTTCAATCCCAGTACTAGGAGGTGGAGACAGGAGAGATTGGTTGGGAGGAGATAGGAACTCAGTGGAGTGTGGAGTCTGAGGATTTATGGAGTCAGAATCTCACCCCTTTGGTCTGAAGATTTGGTAGAGGTAAAAAGTCTCTCTAGTGGTTGACTGCTTTGCTTTTCTGATCTTCAGCTTGAACCCCAATCTCTGTCTCTGGGATTTTATTATTTGTGCTATAGCTCACTGTAAAGGACAGGAAGCAGGGAATCTGTCCCTCAGCCAAGGGACATTCAGCTCAAGCCCCTCCTGTTTCAGCTTTGGACTCACTTGCTTGAACCAATTCCTGCCGCCGCTCACCCGATCTACTTCCAGGTCAGGGGAATTTCCCAGGTGATTGGCTAGAGTGAGTCACATGTTCCACTACCCTGGCACGTGACTCATCCTGCACGAATAGTGGGGGAAGGTGAGTTTTTGCAGGCAGGAGCCATTATGTTGTGTCGTTAAAAATAAGTTTCTATTTCCTTCAAGAGCTGATTTTGGTCTCTGTTTCTTGGAACCTGACCTTCCCCAACCTATGACTTTGACTTGTTTTTTAGAAGACCCTTCACCTTCTTGACCCTCCCTGACCTTCTTTGATCATATGGTGACCACATGACTTTTTTTGAGATCTTTTTCTGTATCGCCTTGTTGCCCCATTGTCTCTCTTCTGTAAACCTGCTTTGCAGCTACTCATGATTTTACTCCTTAAAAGGGGGCCCAGTGATGGATTTGGGGCTGCTCTCTTTACCAGGAAAGTGGCTGGCTAGCTCTTGGATGCACCCCAACTCCCCCTCCCCCCCAAAATTAAGCTTGCTTCAAATTTGGCTCCAATTGTGGTAGTGATATTATTCTCACCACAGGGACTAACACTTACCTGGGTGTGGGAGCCAGAAGGTGTTGACATGATGTCAGAGTCATCGTTACTATCACATCAATTCATGTCAGTGTCTGAAGGTGAGCTCCTGCCACTGCTGGGCACGGTTGCTCTTGCCACTGCTGGGCACGGTTGCTCTTGCCACTGCTGGGCACGGTTGCTCCTGCCACTGCTGGGCACGGGTTGCCTTGCCATCTTCACACTCCCTCGTCAGCGAACTGTGAAAGGACTTGGAAGTGAGCTGTTGCTTGTCTTCTTTGGTTTGTTGTTGCCTCCTACCCTGCCGTGCCTATGACTACCCACTTGGAAACGAAGGCAGACAAAGTGACCACTGTCACTCTGGCCAAGCAAAATGCCCAGCAAACAAAGTAGGCATTTTGAAAACCCTGCTTCCTGCCTCTGGAGGTATAGAGGTCCTTGTGAAGAGAGAGACAGCTCGCGTTCTTCATCCTGAGCCCTAGTTCGTTTCTGCCGCGCTAACTGGAGACCATCTCCTCATGGCTTAGGATCCCCATGAACCCATTCTCAGCTTAGGAGTCAGAGCCTTGCGAAGGCCCATGGTCACTGTGTGCCAGAACGGACTCAGCTTGGAACCAGGCCAGATGCTTACAGCTCCAAAATGGCTTGGCAGAGTGTCCATGATGCGGCCTGTGGTCTGTGCTGGGTGAAGACTCACCCTCATTTGTTAGTGATTAACTGATGTGCAGATGAGGCTCAGTGACCCACAGACAGACAGGCTCATTCCTGAAAGGAAAAGCAGCTTCAGAATTCTCCAGCATGAGGCTGCTTCTACTCAGGGTTCCCAGTGAGGAAAAGCATCATTAGAAAAAGAAGGAAACCTTGAGAGTGTAAGCAGAGAGTGTGTGGCTGACCCTGGGAAAACCTGGGAAGGCCAAGGGCTATGTGTTGCTTCTGGAGGCTGTGACTTTTCTGAACCCCCTCTCTTGTGGTAAAGATAAAGTGACGGAGGGGCTCTGAGAGTCGGGGTAGCAGTGGGCACACACAGGCGCAGGACAAATAAATCTGGATGAGAAGCAGACTTAAGGCTACAATACCATCATCTCAGCTACAATGTCTCTGGGCTCTTTCTGGCCAAAGAACCCCAAACTTTAGACCCCCAGGCCAGTCACAGACCACAAATACCTAGTTCAGCAGTTCTCAATCTTTGGGTAACTACTCATTGGGGGCCGAATGACCCTTTCACGGGGGTCACATATCAGATTTCCTGCATATCAGATATTTACATTATGATTCATAACAGTAGCAAAATTACAGTTACGAAGCAGCAACAAAAATAATTTTATGGTTGGGGGGTCACCACAACACGAGGAATGGCGTTAAAGGGTTGCAATGTTAGGAAGGCTGAGAACCACTGTCATAGAGACTCAGGAAACAAACAGCCAAGCCTGCTGTAACAGGGGTGGAGCTAATAGAGGCCTCCACACAGTGACCCACTTCCTCTAACTATACCCCCACCTCAGAAGGGTTCCAAAATCCCCCAAAACAGAGCCGCTCTCTGGGCACCACGTGATCAATCCAGGAACTGGAAGGACGGGTTACACTAAGCATGGCAGGTGAAATTAGCCTGGAGATTTACAGCAAAGGAGGGATGGCGGACTAAACCCATGGCGGCGTAGCTCAGACACCCCAGATGTTTCCAGGGCAATCTCACTGAGCAGAAAGCTATCGTAACACTTGAAAAAGAAACCTGAATTTTGTGGACTACAATTGCTAAGAACCTACCTTTGACCAGTGCTGCCCACATGAAGGAGAAGCAGAGGTGTTAAGCAGGGTACTGTTTACCTCACTGGGACACTAGAAGTCACTGGGACAGAAAAACATGCTACTACTATATTGTCCCCAACACTGTGCATCGCAGCGTCTCCAGGAAGGGCATCTCTTGTTCACCTTCTCTCTGAGCCCTGGCAAAGCCGGTCACAACAAAAAAGCAAATCAGAAGAGAACAGGCTTCGGGAACAAACAGGGGCTTCCCCAGGAAGAGGGGCTCTCGCTGTCCCCTCCCTATCCCTCCCTTCCCCGCTCACTCGCACTCAGGGACACAGGTTAAGGTGGCTTTTTCTTCCTAGTCCCACAGGAGCACAGGAGGCTCTTACTCTTCTGCCCTGCTGTGACACACAGGAAGTAGGAGACTCACAGTCTCCATCTTCAGCCCTGGGGCTGTTAAGAATCTTCCCACAAGACACTTCCACAGAGCATTAGGGTGTCAAAGCTCCCCACCTGTGTGTCCAGCAGTCCCAGGTCCCCTCTGTGCCTGTGCCGTGAACTCTCCTAAGAGCAATGCTTCTTACTTTGTTCAGGGAGCACAGCTGGAAGGGGGCAGCTGATTTCAACCCATGTCCTGGCCCTGACCCAGAAGCCCTTGATTAACCCACACATGCACCCTCCCCAGGCCAGGTTCCTCTGCCCCTTTTATAAAAGTGACAGTCTGAGCTCACTGGTCGCCTCTGCTCTATTTATTTTTCAGGATCTGCTTCATAAACTGTTGGACATCCAAGTCAATCTTCTTTATTGCTGTTAACTTCGCCTTCCAATTATGCAAAATGTCCTGCAGCTCCCAGGACGAGGTCCCATCTCTACTGGCACTTGGTGCTGTGGGTCTCAGCTGTGACTGACAGGGGCAGTGGCTTCTCATGTCAAGCCCCGTCTTCTCCAAAATACAAATGACTCAGGGACAAGATGGGCACCTGGGAGATGCATGGCTGGACAGGCAAGGTCTGTGAACTGAAAACAGCACCCATGGCAGCTAGAGCTCCAGGATTAATTGCTTTGTTCAAAAAACATGGCAACTGGGAGGTGCCGAAAGCACACTTTAAAAATTGTGTGTATTCCTGTATTTGAACATGTAAATTTTGTTGTTTGTATTTCCTTTGCCCTTTAGGACTCCAAGGAGAGCTCCTGTGCTTGGTATCACAATGAAGCCCTCAGTGACTCCTTCTAGAAGGTACTGAGTGCCTGCTATGTGCAGGCGTTTTCCTAGGCTTGAGTTCTGGCCAGAGACACTTAGACAGGACAGGACTCATGTGACTCAGAAAGTGGCAGATGCTGGATGAGAAAGTGAAGGGTCGGCTTGGGGCACAAGGGGCTTCAGGAGAGACTGGGGTGAACCCTGCAGGATGGGAAAGTGGGAGACTCTGCGGGAAATGCTCCAGACAGGGAGCAGCAGTGTAAAGGCCCTGAGGTTGGTCTTGGTTTGGCCACCGGTGGAAGAGCATCGTCGAGTTGGGAGAGGAGGGGACGAAGAGGTGGCAAGGCTCTTCGCAGCTGCTCTGAGATTTCTGTGTGGGAGGCAGAGGGAATGGCAAGCCCTAATTTATCTCAAAAAGGACCACTCGGGTCATTTGTTTAGACTGGGAGAGGGCCCAGGGTGGAGGCTGGTGTCAACCCCAGGAGACAAGTGATGCTGTCTTCAGTGTCCGAACAGCAGCTGGACCACCGTGGTAGGAGCCATGTATATATATGTTTGTGTGTGTGTGCATGTGTGTGTGCCTTGAAAACAATGTTTTCACAGCGTTTGTATTTATGCTTTTCTCATGTGTATGTAGAGGTCAGAGAATAACTTGAACGAGTTGGCTCTCCCCTCCCACCATGTGAGTGCCAGGTTTGCCAATAGTGCCTTTACCAGCTGATCCACATTGCCAGAAGTGCTGTGTGTATCTTTCAGGCAGCACCAACCCCCTTTTCAAAGGGACGGGGCATTGAATGCACAAACTACCAGACAACATGGGTCCCACAAAGGCATTTAGGTTGCTGGTCCGAATAACTTGACCTTGATCTCTGAGAGCCTGGCAGGTGTTCATCAAGAATTATACAGGTTTTGTTATTGGTTTTTTGTTTGTTTTGTTTTGAGACAGGGTTTCTGTGTTGCTTTGGTGCCTTGCCTGAAACTCACTCTGTAGACCAGGCTGGCCTCAAACTCACAGAGATCCTCCTGCCTCTGCCTCCCGAGTGCTGGGATTAAAGGCATGAGCCATCACTGCCCAGCTATTGTTATTGTTAAAACAGGGCTTCACCATGTACCGCAGGCTAGCCTCCAACTCCCAATCCTGCTTCAACTTCCTGAAAGTTGGGGTTTCAGGCTTCTGCTACCACTCCTGGCAGGATGTATACAGATTTTTAAAAAGGAGTTTCATGCTTTAGGATGTAAAGACAGACATCATCTGCAGCTTCACAGTATCTTAAAGGGCAGGGGCAGGGTATGGCCCAGGTAAAAGCCCTTCCCCTCAAGCCTGCCAACCTGAGTTGAGATCCCTGGAATCCAGGTAGGCACTGGACATGGTGGGGCTCGTTGGTAACCCCAGAATTCCTGTGGCGAGATGGGAGGCAGAGGTAGAGACAGGAGAATGTCCCAGGAGCTTGAGGTAGACACAGTGCAGCAGCAAAAAGCAGGAGAGACCCTGCCTCAAATGGGGTGTGACGCAGGGACCAACATCAAAGCTGTTCCCTGATCCCTACACATGGCATGAAGGTGCCCTCGTCCACACACACCATGAATAAAATATATTTTAAAGAGCAGTACATTATGCCATATGGATACACTGTCCCTGGGGTTACAAATTGTCGCCATTCATTGAAATAGCATGATAAAGATTATAAAATCTTAACTATGATCAGAATCCTTTCAGTTATTAGTTTAAACACACACACACACAGAGCAGGAGAACTGGCTGCAAGGGTTTGTGAGAAGCATACACACAGGCCAAGAACTGCCTCGCCTAATGGACTCCAACTTGAATTGCGTGTGAGACAGATGAGTCGCGTCAGGCTGCCGCTCAGCGGAAAGAATTGTGGCGTCTGGCTGAGCAATAAAGGTGCAGAATGCGAGCAGAAACACGTGTTCCAAGGACATTAGCTGTTAGCCACGAGCCTTTCGCTGGCTGACGATCTCGCTGTGAAATCCAATATTACTCCAGGAAGGGAAACAAGGCCACTAGCTGTCAGCTGGCACACGGCAGTTCATCAAGCAGCAGTGACGTGCCTCAGCCCATCTCCACTCGGGCAGGTTCTGGAAGTGGCCCGGGTGTTCTGGTCTAGAGTGTGTGTGTCACATAGTAAGGGACAGGCCAGCAGCACGATGACCTGTATTTCTGCAAAAATTGCTCCCTCCTCACCCCATGGCTGTCAACATAAAAAACATCTCCTCTCTCAAAGGGAATGAATGATGGTTTA